TTCCCGCGGGAGCCACGAGCGCGGCGTGTCCCAGCGGCTCCCGACAGCGGAAATCATCCGGCGGCTCATTGAATTCTCGGGGTGAAACATCGCCGCCGGCGGCTCCGCTGACACCCCGGGCTGATGTGACACAAGGAACAGCCCCGACTGTCCCCCAGAACGAGCCACAACGATGCTGCCAGCCCCCAAAAAACAGCGGGTGCTTCCGCAAGAGCTTGTCTTGAAGATTTGAGATTAAAAATTGGGGAAAAACACCCCATGGGGCACTGGGGTGGTTAAAAACTGTTAAAAATCGGGGTGTGAGGATGGAATGAGGAATTATTGGGGATTTCTGGGTGTTAAATGCCCCCATAAACCCTGAAACACGTCGGGTGCGTCCATGAGAGCTCGGTTTTAGGATCTGAGATAAAAAACGAGGGAAAAAACACCCCACAGGGCACTGGGGTGGTTAAAGTTTGTTGAAAATCTGGGTGTGAGGATTGAACGAGAAATTATTGGGGTTTTCTGGGTGTTAAATGCCCCCATAAACCCTGAAACACGTCGGGTGCGTCCATGAGAGCTCGGTTTTAGGATCTGAAATAAAAAACGAGGGAAAAAACACCCCACAGGGCACTGGGGTGGTTAAAGTTTGTTGAAAATCTGGGTGTGAGGATTGAACGAGAAATTATTGGGGTTTTCTGGGTGTTAAATGCCCCCATAAACCCTGAAACCCGTCAGAAGGTGCTTCCAGGAGAGCTCAGTTTTAAGATTTGAGATGAAAAATTTGGGGAAAAACACCCCATGGGGCACTGGGATGGTTAAAAACTTAAAAATCAGGGTGTGAGGATGGAATGAGGAATTGTTGGGGCTTTTTGGGTGTTAAATGCCCCCATAAACCCTGAAACACGTCGGGTGCGTCCACGAGAGCTCAGTTTTAGGATTTGAGATGAAAAACAGGGGAAAAAACACCCCATGGGGCACTGGGATGGTTAAAAACTGTTAAAAATCGGAGTGTGAGGATGGAATGAGGAATTATTGGGGATTTCTGGGGGTTAAACCCCCCTGTAAGCCCCCCAGAAAACCAGCAGGCACTTCCAGAGGAGCTCTTTTTAAAAATTTGAGATCAAAAAATGGGGGGAGAACACCCCACAGGGCATTTGGATAATTAAAGATCATTGAAAATCTGGGTGTGAGGATTGAACGAGGAATCATTGGGGTTTTCTGGGGGTTAAACGCCCCCGTAAGCCCCAAAAACCAGTGTGTGCTTCCAGGGGAGCTCGTTTTTAAGATCTGAGGTGCAAAATAGGACGAAAAAATACCCCCCAGGGCACTAGGATAATTAAAAATCATTTAAAATCGGGGTGTGAGGATTAAACGAGGAATTATTGGGGTTTTCTGGGGGTTAACCCCCCAACGGTCGGGCTTAACAGGACACGACGGTGCTGAGAACACCCCAGTTTGTCCTACAGGCTTCAGGTTTTTTTTTTTCTCGGCTGGAAAACGGGGAAAATCGTGGGGACACGCACCCTGGAGGAGGACCCCGGCGTCGGCGACGGTCCTGCGCTGCCCTTTCCAGAGGTGGTAGAGCCGCAGAAAAGCCGCGGCGTAGACGTCGTTCAGCACGGCCACGACCTGCTGCCGGCGGGTGGACACCCCGGCAAGGGCGGGGAAGTTGCACTCCCTGGAACGGGCGGAAAAGGGGCTCAGCCCCCAGGGAGGGACCTCAACCCAGCGGGAAACCCCCATAAATGAGGGGCAAACCCCCCCCAGCCTGGCTACGGAGCTGTCAGCCGCTCCGGGTCTCACCTGGAGAGACGATCCTCCCTCAGCGCCTGCAGGACGATGCGGGTGATGTTGATGGACATGATGCAAAAGGGGAAATTCTGCAGGAGAAGAAGTGTTATCGCGGCGCGGAGGGGAAAACTGCCACTCAGAGGGGGAAAATCGCAGCTCGGACGGGGAAAAATCCAGCTTGGATGGGGAAAATCGTGGCTCGGAGGGGGAAAAGAGCGGCTCGGACAGGGAGAATTGCCACTCAAAGGGGGAAAATCCCGGCTCAGACAAAGAAAAATCCCGCCTCGGAGGGGGAAAATCGTGCCTCAGAGGGGGAAAAATCCAGCTCGGATGGGGAAAATCACCGCTTGGAGGGGGAAATCGCCGCTCGGAGGGGGAAAAATCCAGCTCGGAGGGGGAAAATCGCCACTGGGACGGGGAAAATCGCTGCTTGGAGGGGGAAAATCGCGCCTTGGAGGGGGAAAATTGCCACTTGGAGGAGGGAAAATTGCCGCTCGGAGGGGGGAAATCACGCCTCGGAGGGGGGAAATTGCCGCTCGGAGGAGGGAACATTGCCGCTCGGAGGGGGGAACATCGCCGCTCGGAGGGGGGAAAATTGTGCCTTGGAGGGGGAGAATT